GCAACGGCAGTTGGCACCATCAAGAACGACCTGTCCAACCAGATCGACTCCCAATTCCAGCGCTTCGAGGCCCTCCTGGCCAAGAAGGCGCGTATGGAGTGACTAGGTCACGCCGGATCCTGGTCTAGACCTGCCAGGAGGCCGAACACACCAAAGGGTCTCTCCATGTTCTCCCTTTTGTCCATCATGCTCTGGTTCGGGCTGCTCCCACTTTGCGCAGCAAACACAGAGGCTGTGCAGTGCCAACCTGGTACCCCGCTCTACTATGTCAGCGCAAAGGAGCTTTGCTCAAGCTCCTATTGCGATGGCCCAGGGGAAGCACTCTCATGGGCCAACATTCAAGGCGAGCAGCGTGTTCAGCAGCTGCTTCCACTTCGACCTTTGATGCCAACTACTACCGCATCGGAGAGGCCCGCAATCCTGGGCCCAACAATTCACTCCCGCCCACTGAGGAGCTCTTGGTTGTGGGTACCACGAACCCCTCTGGGCTGAACGGCAAGGAGGAAATTCAGATCAGCCAGGACCCAGGCATTTGAGACTCGCTGCACTCGGCCGTGCTCATCGACGGCAAGTTCGATGCATCGAAGGCGCCCCGGCTCCGCTCAGAGCCAACTCTCTCTGGGCCGGCTCATGGTCCGGGGTCATGATGATCTCCGACTTTCCGGCCCAGGCCATCACCCTGCCTTGGGAGCCCGGCGCATTCGAGACGGGGCGTGTCGCTACCGTCGTGTACGGCTTCGCACAAGGCCCAACCTACCCCAACGCCAAAACACTCACTGATCAGCTCCTCACAACCGTCACCAAGGAAGTTGTCCTCGGCATGCAGCGCGGATCATCGCCGGGACTTCAACATGACCGCTGACTCATCACCACAAATCGCCATTTGGCGACAACATGGATGGCAAGAGGCCCAACAGCTGGCCCACTCTCTTTGGCAACAGACGCCTCAACCTACATGCAAGGGGGCTACCACCCCTGACATGCTCTTCCTTTCTCCTGAAGCTGCAGCACTGGTTCTTCGGGTGAGAGTTGCGGACGTCTACATGGAGCACTCGTCCGTGATGGTGGACCTCTGGACCAAACCCCAGCAGCGGCTCCTCCGACAATGGCGTCAGCCCGCTTCCATCCCATGGGAGTCCGTCCGGATCCCACAATGGCACGCGGCCACCGTGGAGGTTGCCAACCTTGAGCAGCCCGCCACCGAGTGGTACCGGGAGTTTGCGGCCACCTATGAGAACTCCCTCAACGGCTTCGTCGACTCCTTCGGGCACAACGAACTACCTCGGCGGTGCAAAGGACGTGCCAAATGGTCTGAACCACACCAGACCAAGCTTACCTCGCACATCCTGAAGTCAAGCCGTCCTGGAGAAGAAGCCATCCTCACCAGTCTTGCCGGCACTGCAGTACGGCAATGGTGCAAACAGCTACGGCGTCTCCAGAGCTACACGCATGCCACTGCGACATATCCCCGTTCTGTCAACTCGGAACTATACATCGCCCAGCTCTGGGGAGCCATCACGAGAAGCTCGGGATTCCGCGGCAGCTTCCACGTTTGGTGGAACACTCGACCAGCTCAGCTCCAAGGCAGCCCAGTCAGCCTCCCCCAGGAACCACCAGCTCATCAGCAAGCTATCCTCATCTTCCAAGACTTCAGGTCCAACTACCGTCAATTCGAAGCCTGGCACGCCAACAAACGCAAGCAGGCCATCAACCTCAAATTTGAGGAGTCCACCGGCGCCCTTTACAACTTCATCAAAGAGGACAAGGCGCCCCCCATCGACACGCTTGCCATTGCTCAGAACTATACCATGTTGGCCGTGGACCCCAGCAACAATTTTGTTCACCTAGACAAGGCCATCTACGCCAAAGGCAGCTCCACCTGGTCTCTTTATGCAGAGCCAGCCCATGTACAGTTGGAAGCTGCCGACATCGCTCAAGTTGACAGTGATCGGCTTCTCTGCCCAGGAGATACCCTGGAACAAAATGTATCCGTCACCCACATCGACGACATCCACCATGAGCTCCTCGAACTCTGGTCATCCCGATGGAACACTACTGCGCAATTATCCGAGGCCGAATTCCAGCGCATCGCCAACTTCATTCACGCCTTCATCCCACATGGACACTTCCCGTGCGAGCCAATCTCCGTCAACGATTGGGACATTGCACTCAAGAAGTACCGCCCACATACTGCTAAAGGTCCAGACGCCTTCGCGCTCAATGACCTGGCCAGCTCAGGTCCTTCAGGGCACCATCACACCTGTGGCTCGTGCACAGGACTTGGGCGGCCGTCAGGGCCAAAACCATACTGAAATCCGTCAGCTACCTCCTCAGCGACACCGCCTACGGGTTCATGCCCGAGAAAGAGGCCCTGCAGTACGTCTTCGCAATCCAGGCCCTCGTTGAGCTCAGCGCCCAAACCGACCACGCCTCCGGAGGCGTCTGTGGCTTTGCGGCCGACCTCAAGAGATGCTTCAACAACCTGCGCAGAGAGCCCATCACGCTCATCGCCCAGGCTCTCGGAGTTTCCAACCGAGTCCTCAAGCCGTGGGTGGGCTTCCTCTATGGCAACCAGCGCAGATTCACCGTCCGAGGGCACCTTTCCGAGCCGGTCAAATCATCGGTTGGCTACCCAGAAGGGTGCCCACTAAGCGTCGCCGCCATGACCATGATCGACCTTAGCTTTCACCTCTACATGAAAGCCTTCTGCCCTTCGGTTACGAGCTATAGCTTCGTCGACAACCTCGCAGCGACTGCCACCTCTACGGAGGCTTTGGCCAGAGGATGGCGCACAATGGAGGCCTTCTGCTCACTCTTCAAGCTTCCGGTCGACTACGACAAGTCATTTGCCTGGGCTTCAGCTCCTGGCGACCGTAAGGCCCTTGAGGAGGGACCCTTTCCTTCAGCGGGACTCTCAGGCACTCCAGCCTGGTTGAACGATGCCGTGGCCTAGCAGGCCGATGGAACGCCCTCAAGCGAGCCCCAGGCTCGCTAGACAACAAGGCTCGTACGTTGTGGACCTGCTTTTGGCCACGGGCACTTCATGGAATTGTCACACGCAAACTCGGGGACCAGCACATCAAACAGCTCCGATCGGCGGCGGTTGCAGCCCTCCAACTCAAGCGCGCTGGGGGCAACCCCATCCTGCGCCTCACCCTTGAGTTCCAATGCATGGCCGATCCCGGCTACTACCAGGTTGCTACGACACTCAGAGACTTTAGGCGCCTCTGTCACAAGCAGCCTGCGCATGTCAATGAGTGGGCCCACTTCATGCGCCAATACGACGGACGCCTCCTTCCTGGTCCCTTTTCCAAGCTGATTGAGGTCTGCACTCCCTCAGATGGGCCATTACCAATGTGCCCATCATTCAGGATCATGATGGGGACAACTTCAACCTGCCCACGTGTGCCACCAATGAGTTGGATTTTCGCCTCAATGACGCCTGGGCTCAGCACATTGCAGGCCAAGTTCAACACCGCAAGTCCATGAACGGCCTGCGAGGCTTAGACCTTGCCTGTACTACCAGACGGCGTTCCAAGTACAACTCCTTACAGGCGCGTTTGGTTGCAGCAATATGGGATGGTTCTTTTCGAGCAGTTTGCTATCACGCGAAGTACGACCTGACCAAGGACCCCCAGTGCTCCCGACGCCACGTGACGGACGACTTCCGACATCAAGTTGCAGTCTGCCCGCGTTTCCACTCATGTCGAGGTGAAGACCAATGGGCAGCGGATATTTGGGATACACTTCCTGAATGTGTCAGCCAGCACCTCCTGATACCCAGGAACCCCATGCTGGTTGAAATCAAAAAAGCCCTCGGCGACTTACCTGACCGGTCCACAGAGTTCCACCTCCTGCCCAACGACCAGGACGTGCAACACGTATTTACAGACGGCTCCTGTTTCGGACATGCAGACCCACACCTTTCATTAGCAGCTTGGGGCGCAATTTTGCCGGACAGAGGCTGCCTGGCCGCCGGACAATTGTTCAGTCGGTCAATCGTGCAGAGCTCACAGCAGTTATAGCAACGCTCCGCTGGTCGAATCTTTACCGATGCAATATATGTATTTGGACAGATTCGCAATACGTTTCCGATGGAGCCAATGCACTGCTCCAAGACCCTGCCACAACCACGCCCACCGAGAATGCGGACCTTTGGACCTGTGTCGCCAACCTCATCCAGATTGCAGTCCCAGGCTCTATTTTAGTGCGATGGATTCCCTCCCACTTGAACGAAGCGGCCTGTGAATCTCCTTTTGAGGAATGGGCAGCACGGGGCAATAACCAGGCGGATGGTGCAGCAGTCGCAGCAAACAAGAACAGACCAGTTTCCTTCGCTGAGCTACATGGTCGTGCTGTTCAGTATTACAACCGTTGGGCGGAAACCTGTAATGCTCTTGAGCGAATATATCTTCGTATTGCCAACCTCACTGGTACGCATGTTGATGAATCTGCTCAAGAACTTGAGGACCCTCCGGAGGCCACCCTGGACACACCCACGCTGTGGCATAGCAGATGCAACTCGTGGACAGATTTCCTGCCCGAGGACTGGGACACTGTTGGTGCATCCAAATTGCCGGAACTGCCCTTGAGGTTTGCGAAGCAGTTCCTCACCTGGATCCTCAAACTGGATGAACAGAGCGCCGACAGCACAGATGTCAGCTACCTCGAATTAGTTTTGCATTGCCGACAAGGTAATGGCCAGGCTTTTCCAACCGCCACACCCGATGGCGGTTTCCAGGTTGCACACGCGACCACCTTCGCCCGGCCAACCGTAGCTTCTCAACTGCGCATTGCAGCAAGGGTGATTCAAACCTTCGGGCGCCACTTTGCTTTGGTGGGTTTTTTGACCAGTGGCATTGACTCTCTTGTTGGTTTTGGGGTTCACCCTCCTCAAAGGGGCGTTCGAATCGGATGTGGGAATGACACCCTCCGCGCCATGCGCTCATGCGTGGCTTCTTTTTCAGCGGCCCGACCAATCAGGGTCGCGGCTGACTTAGCTAGGCCGGCTTAAGGCCTGACCGGACCGCCCACTGCACCGCGCTGCTGTGCATGGGCGATTGCGCAAGTGAGAGTATTATTGGAGGTGTACCATCCCTAAAGTGGCTTCTAAGTGCGAACAAACGGAGCGGAGGCATGATCAAGAGAGGAATGAATGGGAGACAAATCCACAAGAGTGGGCACCTCTGAAGTCAAGCAGAAGGCATGTGTCATTACCTTGGTTGCTGTTGACCCCCTGCAAAAAGTTAACTTTTGGGGGTTTAGTGGCAAACCCCTTGATTTCTCAAAAAGTGAAAGTCTAAAGATCCAACCCAGTAGCAGTCAAGTCAAGTCCGAAAGGATTTACTCTCCTAAACAGGAGCCCAGGGATATGGCCCATCAGAGTTCTCAAGATTGCCAAATTCGTGGGAGCGGTTCTCTGTTTTTGTTGACCAATGAGAAGTCCGTTCTCCCAAAAATTGGTTACCCTCCAAAAAACGACACACACACACACACACGCGCGCGCAGACACACGCACACACACAGAGAGTCGCTTCATGTGACGAGCCACCGCTGGGAAGGCGCCGCTGCTGTCCGGCGACACGTTGGGACCTTCTGGGATGTCCTGACAGCGGACACCCCCGGTTCCGCTAACTCGGCCACGTGGAACTGCCTAAATCTCGAGACAGTTCACGCGCCGGAAGCCCCTGGCTTGCAAAGTGTTGTGGCTTCTCGTTGGAGGAACGAGACCTCAAACAGGAAGGCTATCCGCTGGGATATTTGGCTGGGTGTCTTGCACCACAAGCGACGACCACACCAACAAGCGGGATAACAGAACCGTGCACGCAAAAGAAAGACCATGGCAAACATCACCATCAACACCACCACCACCACCACCACCACCACCACCACCACAACCACAACCACAACCACAACCACCATCACAACCACAACCACAACCACAACCACAACCACAACTGCCACCACCACAATCGAAAGCACATGCATAACTGCAACTGCAAGTGCAACCTCCGCAGACCCAGTCCTCTACAAAGGAGATGCAGCGCGCCGACTCCAGATTTGCCAGGTGCCTCGCAGTTCCAATGCCACTGACAACGCACTCCAAAATCGTGCATCGCAAGAAGCTTCGTTTGACGCGAGATACTATGGATGGCCAAAATCCTGCACCACCTAAGAAACCCTGGAATGATGATTCCCCTGCAACTGCCAACCAACAATGGTTTCTCATGGTGTCAAGTGGTGCAAAATGGATTTCGTCCATCCACCCCCTCGCAGATGTCTGGCGCGATGACATCCCAAGCAAAAAGCCGCCCAAAAATGAGGCCAAGCTCTCGGCGCTCGCGCACCCTTCTAAGTGCTCGCTCACCACGTTACCACGAACTCAGCAGTCGGTGGTCCTACCTACAGAAACGCCAAGACGCAACGAATACATGCATAAAGTGCATCGCCTCGTTTCGCATGGTCGAATTCCAGGTCTCCCGCCTTGTTGTGCCCAAAACTTGAACCCTTGCGCGAGGAATTTGGTAAATGTTCAAGCGAGAACAGCGGGCTGCGCGCGATTTACGCTGGGTGTGACATTCTGAAGACAAACATCACCACAATTGATCGACATGGCAAATCGGCCGCAGCACGTCAATCCATGCGCACCCCATTGACCCCCAGCCAGGAACCGGTTCAGATAACCATGTTGTTTTTGGAAAGTGGAGCTGATTCCAGCGAGCTGCAGCTGCTGCGCTGACGCGGCCGGTCATAGTGCTACTAGTTGCTAGCGGCCGCAGGGGTTTGTCTCAATATACGGAAACCTGCCAAGAGGTGGTCTCTTGTTGTCGTCCCTTCAGGGACAACCGCAAAACAAGGCACCCTCCAAAGAAGACATGCCCGTACAGAGCAATGCGTCTGGCCAAATCAGTCGCTAATTTGCCCAGACTCCATGTGCAAGTTGAATCGGGAGTGAAAATTAAGACCCGCTAACCCGAGAGGCCCCACAAGACGCACACGCATTCAGAGGACGTCCCGGCCTATCGCCAAACTCACCAGCCCACTGGAAGTTCTGGAGGGATTCTCCTGAGAGTGAGATGGGTCTCTGAAAATCGAGCACAACGGGGGATGTCCTTTGGCAAAAACAAACTTTAGAGGAGTCAAGAAAGCGAACCATCAAAAACACCCACATTGGCAATGGCTGGACTGCTTCCATGCCGGTTTTGCTTTGAAAGCGAAAGAAGGCGGCATAGACCGACCCTGGACTTTGCGCGGCAGGCACTTGGGTGTCATCAAAAATGGGAACTGCCCTTTGGGACCCTAGTGTCAGTTTGCACCACGCTTAGAGTCATCCAAACAAGGACCCAACTATGTTGACAACTTTCAACATGTACGTTAAGCAGGTCAGACCGCCTTCTATGACCGGCTGCTTAACAGTTCGCTAACACCTCGCACACTGGCAACCCTTTGCCTGCGGGTTCCCAGAAAAAAAGAAAGAAGAAACAACTTTCAGAAGGTTCTGGAAGTCAGAAACACTGCAAATTACCAAATGCTCACATGTGTTTCTCGTGTGTTTGTTTTCTCAGTGCAGATTCAGTCACAGGTTGATGTCGCGCTTTGGCAATAGAGTTCATGTGGCAAAAGGTTCGTCCGTTCTTCCCGAGGGCAACACCTTCACAAAGCGCTGACAACGCTTTCTGAGAAATGCTAGAATCGGGGGATGGGGTGTTCATGTTCACATGAACCAGCACGCATGCCCTATTGGCCTATTGGCACTGCCGCGCAAGGCGTGCATTCCCTGTTGGCACTGGTGCGAAATGCGGCTTCTTTCGCAAACATGCTGTGGACTTTCCTCGCAAGGCGCAAGCGTGCCCGCTCTCCCACACCTCAAGCACACCCGCTCAACCCGCTCAGCCCTGTATCCACACCCGCTCAAACACCGCATTGGCGGAGGCTTGCTGTCCGCCATTCCAGCATTGTCCAAATGCTCCGCGCCGGCACCTGGTTTGCAAAGAATGGAGGCCTTTGCAAGACAGCAACTTTCGCGTTCCACTGGGTGGCATTTTTTGCGCCTTAGCCACCGGTGGAGCACATTTTGATGACCTCAAAGTCGCTGCTCAAAGCTGCGCCTACCAGTAAAGTCCACTTCTATTCTTGACGCAGGTTGACGAAGATATGGTTGGCAAGCTCGAACGTGCATCTGGCAAATCAATAGCGCTTCAAGTCACTCAGAGAACTTTGCCAAGGTTGCTTGAGGTCGCGTTCAAGCATTTGAAACGCTGGTCCCTGATTTTGCTGCGAGTGCAAGAGTGGGGTAAGGGCAATTGGGAATTAGTGCTCACATCAATATGTTTTCTTGACGTGTAGTGATGAGTGAAGGACTCTGTCAATACGCTTGAAATTCAAGTCACTGCATCTTCCAAAAGAAACACAATGTTGTTCTGGTATGGCACATGTTCATCGGTTTTTTGAAGCTCCTGGTCGGGGAGAAAACAGAAGCCCTCCGCGAACTCCCAGAAAGGGGACTTAGAACCTCTTGAAAGATTCTGCAAGGACTCTGAGACCGGGAAGGAGTGTTCAAAGGTTCTGATTAGGCCTAGGTATGGGGGGTTCACAGTCTGTTCCAGTCCTACCCCAGAAAGAGGCTTCCAAGCCCCCCAGACCGGGATTCTACAAGGAATTCTACAAGGGGGTATCCAGGGGGTAGGAAGGTCCGTTCAAAGGTCGGATGTGAACCTTTCTGGACCCAGCTAACATGGGTTTGCGCACAGATTGTTGTAGTAAGACGAGTCTTTCCTCTTGCAAAGGGCCTTTTTGACCAAACCCATGTTAGTTGGTGGGAGCCTCTGATAACTCGCTACTGCGAGTCGGCCAGTGTCTCCTGGGTACTCGCAGGGAGGGACCCTCGCCACGCCGCGGCACGCTTGCCGGAAGGCCTGCCCGGCAAGCGGCAAGGAAAGCTCGTAACACACCTTTTGGGAAATGAGGCCGCAAGACCAGTTGAGTCACAATCAAAACCTGGTACAACAATGGTGCCCTTACGAACTTTTCATCCACCCGAGTTTGATTGTGGCTCAGTTGTCCTGCGCTTGTGATGCCCTTACCACCCGCCTTTTGAGCGAAGACAAACGTCACTGAAAGGCCAAAGATCAGGACTGGATGCGTCTTGGCCCTCTTGCCTTCCCAGGCCTGCCACTTGGTGACGATGTCAGTGACCCACATGGCAAAATAAAACAGCAGCACGTGGATGCAACTTCCTGAGGCGCGCCCGCAGAACAGTCGCCGCAGAGTCACTGCAGTCTTAGCTTGCTCATGCTACCCCCCTGTCCAACTAACAAAAGTCATCCTTCCTGGCGGTGCTTGCCACAAGCCTTCAGCCGCCTTGACACCCACCGGTTTGCTCCAACGCCTGCATTGCCCTTTATGTTCAGAATGTCCCAAGGTGTCATACGTGCCGTGGTCAAACCTCCCGTCAGCCATGGTGGCTCCTTGCAATGACCACCACTAGCCAACCCCAAGCAAAAGGGTATGATTGCGCACATCCCCCCAGCACGGGCTTTTGGTTTCTTGTCTCTTTGTCAACGCACCCCCCAAAAAACCGGGTACATCTGGAAAGTGGCTGTGTCTCAAACTTTTCTGCGAGCCCCGTTGGATGGCTTGGCTCCTCAAGCAGTCCCCTTGTGGCCCATTTCGGAGGGCGCGGCGACCAATCGGGCGGCCCAAAAATGGGCCTGGCACCAACCGAAGGCTTTGGCAGCATCACCGAGGGCAGGACCACCGCTGAGGCTGGCGGACAAGTAGACAAAGGCCTGCCTCAAAGACGTGGAAGGCTAGGTCAAACTGATCTGGGCTGCCCAAACTGATCCCCTGCTAAAAGTTTAACTTCTAGTGGGTTAAACGGAAACTACCACTAAACACTAAAAAGCTAAAAAGCTATGGGGATATTGTGTCTGATTCGAGGTCTCTGGTCTGCACGCTTTGTCGCATATGTACACTCCCACGGCCCCTGCGTCTTGCCACTGCACACATGCTTGGCACCTGTTAAGCGGACACACACACAGAGAGACACACACAGGACTGGTTGTTTGTCCTACTGCGCACATGCTTGCCACATTGCTAAGCATGCGTGCATGACGACCCCAGCCTATTTTGCCTCGCACATGCCTCTCTCCCTAACAACAGCTTTGCAAAAGCCGCTACTCTTGGCACAGTTTTGGGAGCCCAAATGCCGGCGCCAAAAGCTTGGCAACAGTTGCAAGATTTGTTCCGAAAGAATACTGACGGGGCGAGGACATGGGCTTAGTCGGCCGGCATGTTCAATGGCTTAGCTGTATTCGAGAGGTCGTTAACGGCATTTTCCAGAAAACCTGGGCAAGCGGCGCGCGAGGGAAACGCGCGGGCGAGCGAGCGGGTGAACGTACGAGTGTGCGAGCGCACGCGCGAGTGGACGGACGAGTGCGCGGTTGGACGGACGGACGCACGCACGCACGCACGCACGCACCCGTCCGTACAGAAATAAGGGCAGAAATAAGACCATTTTATGATTTTATGGTCTTAAAAAGGTCTTATTTCTGTACGGGCCCGCGCGTACAGAAATAAGACCTCTTTTAAGACCATAAAATGGTCTTATTTCTGCCCTTATTTCTGTACGGAAGGGCGCGTGCGTTCGTGCGCGCGTGCGCGCGTGCGTGCGTGCGTGCGTGCGCGCGCGCGTGTGTGCGTGCGTGCGTGCGCGTGCGTGCGCGTCCGTCCGTCCGTCCGTTCGTCCGTCCGTCCGTCCACTCGTCCGTCTACTCGTCCACTCGTCCGTCCACGCGCTCGTTGCTTTAAAAGCACCCCGTACGCCCCACCTCGCGCGTTTTTGAGAATTTTACGTTTACGAGTTCTTAGATTTAGCTAATCAATGGCCCATGTTAATGTCCACCCAAACCTTCCAACGTCCAACGTACAGCAATTGTCCAATCTTCGCAATCCATATTTCTTCTGGGAAAAGCAGTCCTAAACCCAAAAGTTGTGTGCAAAATAATCGCAGACTCCCTGGGCAAAAGGAGGGCTCGACATCATTCTGAAGAGCGGGATACGTGATGTGGACCCGGTTCGCGCAAAACCTCTCCCGGTGGGCAAGCTCTTGAGGGAGGAAAAGGACTCAACTTGCACCCGAGGCACCCAACATTCTCCGTGTCGAGGTAAGACACTAAAAAGCTCACAAGGGGGAAGACGTCCAAGGCCAGGTAGATGGAAATTTGCAGGGCGGCGTCCAAGCAACGTCGGCCTGCAAGGATTTGTGTCCCAAAGAGAATTCAGGACCTCCCTGGAATTTGTGTGACTTTAGAATTCACCGAGCTTTCATGACGGGCAGCCATTTGGTGCAGATCCGAAAGCAGTTCCTTGCGTGGAGTGAGAGATGGGCGAGATGGGCCTGTCTCAAAGCGGAACACGTGAAATTTCAGGAAGCATCTCCTGTTGGCAAAACTCTAAACGGAGCGGCCATCCAAGCCTACTGTTTGGGAGCTCCTACGGTACCCTCCTGACATAGAACCCACCAGAAAGTCCCTTAGACAGCAACGTCGGCAAAGAACCTAAGCTCAACTTGGTTATGTCTACAAAAGGAAAGCGATGGAAAGGTCATGTTACCAACATATTTGTCAATATGGATGCAAGTAAACCGGTAACCCCTGAAAAGAAAATCTAAATATTTCACAAACCCTTCGCATCTTGATTCGGTGTCCGATCAACCGTTGTGTCCGACCTTGACCACAGGGCAGAATCCCTTCCACACACCGGCAAGATCACAGTTGGTTAGTTTGCTGGCTCTCGGATTCCCGTAATCAGTTGGAATAACCCCCAACATCCTGGTGGCTGGGGATCCCCTGAAACGCTTGCGCGCTCGGCGGTGAAGCCCACCAACTGCGTGGGTGCTTTCCCAGCGAGTCTCAATTGCTTCATTCCTCGAACGATCCCCCCCGCCTGTAGAATCCAGAAGCTCTTCGGACCACTCCCCGTCCGCGACCTTGGCGGAAACCTCCGGAGACTCCAGGCGAGTGGCGGTTTGGGCGACCTCTTTGAACCACGCCGTGTGCCTGGTAGTATCTATATATATATATATATATATGCTACATATATGTGTATACACATGTATATACATGTGTATACACATGTATATACATACAATATACTTATATGTATATATATATATGTATATATGGTCCCCCGCCTCATGACCTACCCTTTTCCTTTCCACAGCAGATGATGGCCTTAGGTTGCATTGGGGCTGGGCAGCAGATGCTTGGCAGAATGGGTCGTAGGGGGTGTAGCTATGTGTATGAATATATATATATATATACATGGTACCGCGTTGGTTTAGAGTGTATTTAGGGTGTATTTATGGTTAGTTTGGCGTTGGTTAAGGGTTAGTTTATGTTGAGAGTTGGTTTAGGTTTAGGGTTTATGGTTTAGGATTTGGTTTAGGGTGTATTTAGGGTTAGTTTAGGGTTTGGTTTACGTTAATTTAGGATTGGTTTAGGGTTGGTTTAGGTTGATTTAGGGTTGGTTTAGGGTTGGTTTAGGTTTAGGGGTTTACGGTTTAGGGTTTGGTTTAGGGTGTTGGTTTAGGGTTAGTTTAGGGTTGGTTTATGGTTGGTTGCAGGTTGACCGTAGGTACCAGCATCGGGGGCTCGGGGTCTCGGGCCGGGGGCCGGGGGGGTCCTGGGGACCCGTACCATCTGGGGGGGGGGGGGGGTGAGGGGGGGTAGCAGGCAGGCATGTAGGTATGTAGGCATGTAGGTATGTAGGTAGGTAGGTAGGTAAGTATCTGTGTAGGTAGGAAGGAAGAAAGGAAGGAAGGAAGGAAGGAAGGAAGGAAGGAAGGTAGGTAGGAAGGAAGGAAGGAAGGAAGGAAGGTACAGTAGGATTGTACGTACGTACAATGCGTACGTGCGTGCATATTGGGTGATACCGTTGGGGGGGGGGGGGTAGGAAGACCAGAGACCGGGGGGACGTGCACACCATGAATCCCCATCCAATCTTGCCCCTTGCCCAAGTTGACTACTGGCCGAGCACCAGAAAATGCTGGCAGGCACAGTGCCCATCTCTTTGGCCTTGGAATGATCGCCCCATAAGTTTTTGCCTGGGCCGTTAAGGTAAAACCCTGCCCATCCGGGCGATGTTTCTGAAGAAAAAATTGGGTTTGCAAGCGACGTTCCAACTGTGCATGGCAACTGTCCTTGATAGAAGGCGTGCGAACACCGCGAAAACGATGTATTTGTAGCAAGACATCACAGGCCGCAGTCTTGTGGAAGCACCAGATGCAACCCAGCAGAGTGCAAGCCTATTCGCCAGCCTAAGGACCCAAAGCTCTTGCCTACGGGGGCTGGACGAAATGCTGCACGACCTAAGAAACCATGGAATGATGATTCTCCTCTAAACGCCAACAAACAATGGGCTCCCATGGTTTCAAGGTGGTGCGGAATGGATTTCGTCCATCCACAGTATGAGACGAATTCAAGAGTCACGCTACCAACTCAGGGCTCCCCTATGTTTGTTCCTTAAAAATTGGTCCGAGATCAGTCCAATGGGTACCCTGGCCCACTGCCGCCCGCCTCCGCCTCGATGTCCCTCCAAAAGTCGCAGCACACGACCCGGCGGTAGGTGCGGAACCTCAAGCCGCTCAAGTGGGAAAGCCGTGCCAACTCAAAGAAATTCCCACAGGGGGCTGGCACTGGATTCCCAGAAAACAAGCTGTGGCAAAGATGCGGGGTTCATGAACTCGCACGCGTGACTATTCTTGAAGTCGGAACTCTGGAGGCTTGGATCATAGTGGGAAATTCCCGGTTCAATCGAAAGGTGCTTGTGTGGCATGCAATCGCACCTTGTACCATCCATTGGAAACCCCATCTCAACTCCAACCCAAACAAGTCAGGCCTGATATGATTGGTTTCCGCAGGGGTTTGTGGAGACTCTACAGAGTCAGAAGACCCCAGCCGTCATGGAAGACGCTCAAACCAGCCTTTGTACATGGGGGTGTCTTGGTTTTCGCCTGGGTATCCTTCGTGGGCTGCTTTGAAGAGAACCTTCTTCGGGAACCGAAGCTCGTTGAAAGGAACCCCCATTTAGAGACAAATGCGACATCCATTCAAATCCGCAAAGAAAAAAGATACTCAGAAAACACTCTTAGGATGGCTGAGAGGGTTGAATGCAGCTCATGCTCTCTGGATCAAGTTTGTGCCTCATGATCAAAACAAAGCACCACACCCACCGCATTCCAAAAAAAGTGTGTGCCTCATGATCAAAACCCATCTGTTCACCGCACCCATTCAAACACAAAAAAACTCTCATCAAAACTGTTCACCGCACCCGAAACAAAGCCCCACAACGCACCCGTCCAAAAAAAAGAACAAGCTCTCACCCAGCTTCAGCTCCAGAAACGTGTCCTCCTCCCAGGCGTCTTTGGCCAAGAGGTAGCAGAAGCGGAGGAGGTCCCCCACGATGCACACCAGCAGCCAGGTGCGGAGGAAGATGGCGAAAAAGGGGCCCAAGGGGAAGCTCAGCAGCTGAGAACTGCTGCACCTTCGTGCGTTTTTTTAAAGGGAGACCTCCTGGGAAACCTGGGCTGAACCTCGTCAATTGAAGAAAAACCTGGGGGAAGAAGCGTCATCAACGTGCACCAGCTTATATTGATCAACCCAGAGGCCCTTTTCAGTTGGCAACAAAGAGGTAAACCAACCGATTGAAGGGATCTACAATTCAGGGTACCCAGCGTGTCTTTGGTAAGAAAACCTTTTGGGTGGTTTTACAGGGACGCCTATGGGAAAACACCCATTTGAGGCGTTGCCCATTTGGAGACAAACCCCAAGTGACTCACGCGCGCACACACACACACAAAAGTATTTTGTGAGACAACCTTTTGGTGGTTTAACAGGGACGCCTATGGAGACAAACCCAAGTGACTCACACACACACACACACACTCAAAGGCGCGAACCGTTTCCACAAGGGGATTGGAGTTTCGTGCGTTCTCACATCTGGTTGGGCAGGCCATGCTCATGGCCTCCTCGAAGGAAACCTTAACTTATCCAACCGCTGCAAATTATTCGAAACGGGAAGATAAGGTACAGGAAATCATAAGGACGAAGACAAAACGCAGACGCATGCCTTTCTCCTCCCTTTTCCTTGTGACCTTTGGCTGAGTCTGGTGACGAAGAAAGGAAAAGTGGAACCCAAAAAGCTGATTCCCCAAAAGGAAACTCCTCCCAAAACGCCTTCGGGGGTTCCACGACCATCCGCTTCCAAGACACGGTGGATCTATGTGGAACGGTTTCAATAAGAAGTCGCCGTTCACTTGGGCCGGCTGACTTGAATGGTTAAAACAGATAACCCGCAAATCTATCGCCAACAAGGTCTGCGTTAGGGCTTGGAGTTTAACGGTTTAGGATGTCTAGGGTGTGGGAATCTTAGGGTGTAGGCTTCTAGGGTGCACGTGGGCTGGGTTTCTACCGATTAGACCGCCTCAACTCTTGCTCCTGAGTACCAAAACACAATCAAAAGCTGCCATGATGTATGTTTTGGCTGCTTCATGCACGCTCAAGCAGTGTCAATCTTGCTGCAAAGTTTCTTTGTTGAAACTGCCTGTGACAAGCAAAAAATAAAGTCCCGGTAAATCGAAGGCGGCTCATTGATGACCGACATGCTGGTATGGGTCAAAATTCAACCACCAGGGGACCCCAGGTTTTAGTCCTTGTTTCCATTTACCACGGTTCCATTTTGGGGTTCCTCCGTGACACACATGTGTCTTCAAGCAAAAACGGATGGCCCAAAACGAACGCACCGAGACGAGGTACTGCACATCGCCCTCGCAAGTGATGCTCGTCCTGTACCAGTCAATGTACCACGCCAGCATCAAATTGGCAGAAATGGTAAAATACACGCAGGCGCCAACCCATATGCCGTAGGTATGCCACACCTCAGCTTGCAGGAAAAAAAGCAAGTTGCAAACTGCTCATTGTTTTGAACCATTTAGTTTGCACGAGTCTAGCTTTTTTCAACGAGCCAACACCCGGCATCCTATAAACCTCTGTTCTTACAAACTATGAACTCTACCATTCCCCGCACAGCAAAAACTATCAACAAGTAGGGTGGTCGGCCGCAAGATTAGATTGGTTCAGAGTCACAATCAAAACCTGGTATGAAGAGCGGGTCTATCCAAACCCCACAGCAAAAAAATCGGCTGTCTTGCTGAGCCTCAGGTTGGCACTATCCCGTATGCCAGCTGAGATTTGGAGGGAATGTCCTTCCCGTTCATGCAGCAAAGGACAGGCCGCAATAATTTCGTGGCCATACTTTAGTCAGTTTAACAAGTGTCTTGTGGGGCAGGCGTGGGACTGTCAAATATCACGCCCTTTTAAATAACAGGCTTCCCAGACTGCTCTCCTGAAAAGAAAACTGTCAGCTTCCAGCGTCGCTTACGCTCAAAAACGACAGAACTAAACCAAAAGCGTTGAACACAACCATAGACAACAGGAAGTCCATCAAAGCTCGGAGACATATCATACAGACCAGCATAGACCAGCTACAGTATATGTTCAGTATGTAATGAGTATATACCAGGGCTCCACAAAAGATACATCCAAAAGTTACCTCCTTTACAAGGTAATCCTCTACACCAACAAGTAAGAGTGTTTCTTGACTGGTATCGAAGGGAAATTGGGAGCCGCCGACGGACATCCCTGTAAACTTCTCTCCCCGTCAGCCGGGCCTGCGCCGGTCGCTAAGGACAAACCCGGTGAGGTGTGTTGAAACTTGCGTGGAAGGTATCCAAAGCACACCACGGATGGCACAGGCCAGGGTCAAGGATGACCATCGCGACAATAAGACTTCACGGATTGGTTCCCAATCCAAAAGTACCGTTCAACCAGAAAAGCGTCGGTCCTAGGCGACAAGTCTGTAGGCTATTTCCAGCAGACCTCTTCGTGGGTCACAAAGCATAACCAACAAGCCGTTGATAAAACCGAGATGCCCGCAGGAAGATCAGGGGCGGCGAATACCGGAGCTTCTTGAGGGAGGTCACACCCTGGTTCTTGAAGACATGTTGAATGTCCTGGACCGCCACAGTGATCGAGCAAAATGTGGGGGTGGAAGGGTAGACGTTGGTTGGTTGGTTGGTTGGTTGGTTGGTTGGTTGGTTGGTTGGTTGGTTGGTTGGTTGGTTGGTTGGTTGGTTTGTTGGTTGGTTGGTTGGTTGGTTGGTTGGTTGGTTGGTTGGTTGGTTGGTTGGTTGGTTGGTTGGTTGGTTGGTTGGTTGGTTGGTTGGTTGGTTGGTTGGCTGGTTCTAGCGGGAAACCACAAGGTTGCCAGTAGGAGTCAACAGAACAAAAAGTTGGCTCCTTTGATAACGGTTGCTTAAAACTAAATTTCCATCCTCCTTTCTTCTGCGGGTCGCCTCCCCTCCCTTCCCCTTCCTTCCCTTCCCTCCTCCTGTTCTGTCTTGCGTGGTTCATTATTTATGTCTTTCTTTCTTTATTCCTTTCTTTCTTTCTTTCTTTCTTTCTTTCTTTCTTTCGTTCGTTCGTTCTTTCTTTCTTTCTTTCTTTCTTTCTTTCTTTCTTGCTTTTATTGTGTTTTCTTTTCCGTTCTGGTGTGTTCATTCCTTTCCTTTACTTTCCTTCTTTCTTTGGTTCTTTCTTTCTTTCCTGTTTCTTTCTTCCATTCATTCCTTCCCTCCCTTCCTTCCTTCCCTTCCTCTCTTCCTCTCTTCCTTCCTTCCTTCCTTCCTTCCTTCCTTCCTTCCTTCCTTCCTTCCTTCCTTCCTTCCTTCCTTCCTTCCTTCCTTCCTTCCTTCCTTCCTTCCTTCCTTCCTTCCTTCCTTCCTTCCTTCCTTCCTTCCTCCCATTCCTCCCCTTCCTTCCTTCCTTTCTTCCTCCCTCCCTTTGTTTCTTTCTTTCTTCCTTCCTTCCTTCCATCTTTCCTTCCTTGCTTGCTTTCTTTCTTTCTTTCATTCTGTCTTTACTTATTTATTTACTTGTTTATTTATGTCTCTCTTTCTTTATGTCTTTCTTTCTTTATTCATTCCTTCCTTTCTTGTTTTCTTTCTTTCTTTCTTTCTTTCTTTCTTTCTTTCTTTCTTTCTTTCTCCCTTTAGTCCTTGCTTTGTGTCTTTCGTTATTTCTCCCTTTATTCCTTTCTTTCTTTCTTTCTTTATTTCTTTCTTTCTTTCTTTCTTTCTTTCTTTCTTTCTTTCTTTCTTTCTTTCTTTCCTTCTTTCTTTCTTTCTTTCTTTCTTTCTTTCTTTCTTTCTTGATATATTTCTTTCTTTCTTTCTTTCCTTCTTGCTTTCTTGCTTTCTTTCTTTCTGTCATGAGTTATTTGTTTCTTTATGATTGTTTTTCTTTCGTTCTTCCTTCTTTTTTTTGTTCTTTCTGTATTTATTTATTTCTGTCTTTCTTTCTTTCTTTCTTTCTTCCTTACTTCCCTCCATCCTTCCTTCCTTGCTTGCTTTCTTTCTTTACTTAAAAATGTATTTATATAATTCTGTCTTTATTTATTTATTTGTTACTTTATTTCTTTATTTATGTGTTTTTCTTTCTTTCTTTCTTTCTTTCTTTCTTTCTTTCTTTCTTTCTTTCTGTCATGATTTCTTTGTTTCTTTATGTATTTCTTTCTTTCTTTCTTCCTTCCTGGCTTTTTTTGTTCGTTCTTTATTTCTGTCTTTCTTTCTGTCTTTCTTTCTTTCTATATTATTTTTATTTATGTCTTTCCTTATTGATTTCCTTCTTTCCTTCTTTCTTTCTTTGTTTCTTTCTTTCTTTGTTTTGTCCTTCCTTCCTTGATTTTGTCTTTTGTTTATTTCTTTCCTTTCTTCTGTCTGTCTTTCTTTCTTTCTTTCTTTCTTTCTTTCTTTCTTTCTTTCTTTCTTTCTTTCTTTCTTTCTTTCTTTCTTTCTTTCTTTTTTTCTTTCTTTCTTTCTTTCTTTCTTTCTTTCTTTCTTTCTTTCTTTCTTTCTTTCTTTCTTTCTTTCTTTCTTTTTTTCTCTCTCTCTCTCTCTCTCTGTCTTTTGCCTGTCACTTTCAATGCAAAGGCAACCCTCTCTCCGCTCCAGCATTAAGAACGCAATATCAGTCCAGCTCCTGGTGACATGCCCTCTCCTTGAAGCAAGCGCGGAGCCACCCGGGCTGTTCTTGGAAGACGTCCGCAGCATGGGTGTAACTAAATGACCTGCGGAGCTGCAAACGCCTGGCCTGACCACCTCAAACACCTCAGAAGAATCTGTCACCCACGGACAGCCCTGCACCCAAACGGCTAAAAGGTGACAAAAAAAAAAAAACACTCACTGCCTCGTTTGCCATGGCAAGAATGATCAAGGCGCTAAGGACTAACCCCGAAAGTGTACCCTCCAACAAAGAACAGCCCCGCTTGCCAACGAAGGAAACCTTGATACAGGGACCAAAAACCCAAATGACTTCTTGGTTCTAACACCTTAGGGGGTGTTTTGGTTTGTCTCAGGACCCGAAAAGTGGGTTCCTTGGCTTCTCTTTGACCAGAGGTAGATTCCTTTGGGTCGCTTCCTTTTTTGTGCTGTCACTTCGCTAGGGCTCCGCTTTGGGGAATTTTCGCCAGTGCACGAACGGGACTTTGATTCTCAGACTCAAAACACTACCCCACAATGCCACTTGTGATAAGGTATCATCCTTGTCCATCCAAAAGGGATTGAATCGAGCGAATCCCAAAGCCAAAAGCTGGCAACTTCCCGAATGCCTACTCGGCGTGGAAGGAGAATTCGACCCTTGCAGAGCTCGTTGCCACTCCTGCGCCGAACCGGGCGAAATCAGGCGGTTTTTCTTCGGCTTTCCTGCAAAAGCAACACGACAAAGGGTATCAACGTCCAAAAACCAACCGTAAGCAGCTCGCGGAGTCCACTTGAGCAATGGTCCAAGCTCATGTTTCCCACTGGATATGGGGAAATGCGGGGCTGGTCTGACTCCGTACGATCTTAAAGCCATAGGAAAATACACAACCGCGACCAAGGTCATCTAAACCAAACCAAAGGTGCCAAGGACCAACCGAGCAAAATGCGTAAGGTATTTGACAGCTCCGCAGCGTCGCTCCTCAACGTCGGGGTTGTGTCTCTCCAACATTGCGCGGATGTCCCCTTTGGGGAGCAACTCAACGCGTCGTCTCTGTGTGATTGCTCGCGGTGAGGCCTCTGTCAAACGGTTCCGGATCCTGCAAACCAAGTTTTGATTGCGAAAGCTGTGCAGCAATTAATACCTAATCCAAACTAAGCATTGCGAATTCCAACTTCCAAACCACGTGACATCAAGCACCTTCTGTTGCCGGGAGCGCTTGCCTCCGTTTTGCCGAATGCATGGATTCTGTGCTCTTTCCGGCTGTCTATAAGGAGCTACGGCGTGTACAGTCCAAACCAAAGCATGAAGTGAACCGATCTCCGTTGACAAACAAGCAAACAAGCAAGCCAGCCAGCCAGCAAGCAAGCAAGCAAGCCAGCAAGCAAGCAAGAAGCAAGCAGGCAAGCAGGCAGGCAAACAGGCAAACAGGCAAACAAACAAACAAACAAACAAACAAACAAACAAACAAACCAATTACACCAGTAGCATGCCACGGCTACGAACCATGATGCGGCATTGTAATGGTTTCAGCAGAACCATGATGATGTTATGTTGACAGCATCATGATGATACCACGGCCACTCAGCGTTTTGCGCAACATAGACGCACAAACAACGTCCTAGTGAGTTCAGCAGCATCATGGTGATGTTGGGACCCACCATCTTGAGCAGAGACAACGTCCTGATGAGTGCAACAGCATCATGATGATGCTGCCAGCATCATGATGACAGGGACAGCATCATGTTGGTGAAGACAGCATCATGATGCTACCACAGCCACGAATCTTCATCCGACATCGAAAGGAGTTCAGCATCAGTCTGGGAATGTTGACTGCATCATGACGATGCTAACCATCACGCGCCAAGTAGACGCACAAAACGACATCCTAATGAATTCAGCAGCATCATGATGATGTTGGCAGCACCAGGCTGACACACCAGCCGCGAATCGTCGCGCTACATTGCAAGCAGCGACGACGTCCTGATGAGTTCAACAACATCACCAAAATGCTGGCAGCATCATGGTGATGCGGACAGCTCTGCAGAGCAACCACATCAACGTGGCGGATCAAAAAGCGAAAAACAGGGCAACTACACCACTTGGACTAGCGCCGGTATCACGCACGGATATGACCCACACAATGGCCACGCTGCTGCGTGGGCCAACTCATACAACATCAAAACACAGCTTCTCGAGGTGGGCCTGACACCTGCCGTGCCTCAAAAACCTAAATTGCAACCGCGCGCGTTGTAGCTACTCAAGCCTGGCTCCTCAGCGCTCGCGCGGCACTCAGTTGGAATCCGATGTCAAACAAGCGGGTCGCTTTCTCATGTGGCCAATCAGCAATGCACAACCTCCCCATGGTGCGCTGGTAACGTAACAACACCAAGCGCTGCGGGCGGCACGAGCACGCAAACAACCCAGCTGGCATGAAATACCTGCTGCACGCTCCTACCCCCGCGCGCAGTACGGACAGTGGGTCACCAAGACGCCCTCCAAATAGACCATGTCGTTTTTCTACCCTGATGAGCCCACCTCCACCTTCAACCCAGCTCTACCAGCAGGGAGTCTTTTGGGCCACTCATCTCATTCCAGCGCCATGGTTTGCTGAATAGGAACCCATATACTGGTTGTCTAAGATCCCTTCAAGGGATTTGCCTACCGACCCGAAGCAAAATGGTCTTTTGACCATAGCACATATGCTCACGGCCGTTCTGCCTCTGCCCCTTGAACTGTAGCATCCCACCCGTGCCCCTGGTAGATTTTTCGCGGTCGGGCCAATGGCCGAAAGGGCAGGATGAGCCCGAGGTATGTGACAGTGCCTGGACCTCTGCAAGTCACTTGGAAGATGCCGGGCCGCAATGGTGAAACGCATGACAAGCCACACAGGTTCGTTTTTGCCCGTTCGAATTTGCCTCGCGGCGTAGCCAAACTGCAGCTTTGCCCTCTCAGCGGAGCAGCGCACTCTTTGGCCTTGCGAGGCAAGTGTTGGTTCTCAAGTCGAAGAAGCAAGGACCAAAACACTGCTCCGGCCCTCACCCACTAACGTCCGTGAAAATTCCCTTACTCCGTATTATGCTTGTCCAGCCCAGCACCAGTGGATTGGTAGCTGTTTACTGCCTCTCACTATCCGTTGGAAAGAGAAGTGGCGCCGCAGTCTGCTCTTGGAGTCTTGGCCCCCCGTCCAGCCGGGCACTTCTTTTGAGGTCGAAAACAGAAAGGGAACCAAACATGCTTGACGCACTTCCATCAGAAGGGGACAGTGCCTATGAACTGCCATTCGCTCTGCCTTCGACTTCCAAGCACCGACGTTCCGTATTGCTCTTCCTCTGTCAGTACCGCCGAGATTCTCAGCGCTTCAGTGATTGTTTTTTTGGGGGATGAGCATACAGGAACTGCTGGGTGATATCCAGTGTTGGGTAACCAAAAAGTGAACGCCTACCAATTTACTGCTCACACAGTCGGCAGCAAACATTGTGCGACTGTCATTGATTCTGGCCGAAGAAGCCAATCCCTGCAAACAGGTGAGCCTCTGAACAGTGTTCCAGGAAATTATCGCTGCGTGCTATCAAAATGGGATTCCCGCCTGACTTGACAAACCGGCCAAAATTCATGTGCAACAAGTAGAATGGCCACACCAGTGTCGAATGGGTAAATGACCTAGGAATCGTCCCCAGTGAAATTATACATTATGCTCATAATGATTATTATGGCGGGGGTGGTGCAAATTGAGTAATGATAATGCTAAGTAATAAAACTTATGTGTGCGTGTGTATCTGCGGGTGTGGCTCAAAATGGCTGGTGCGTTGTAAAACCACCCTAAAAAGGATACCCTGAAATATACCTCATATATATATATATATATATGTATATATATATGCATATTATATGTCGAGTATACATACACGCGTGTATGTATCTATATATATATAATGTATATACGTACATGTGAAACAAGTACATGATATTTTCCATATATATATATATATATTATACATATATATATATATATATGTATATATATAGCCCATTTAGGTATCCATTCGTGGACCTCGCCAGACTCGACCACTCCCGAATCGAGGCGCTTCACCACAGCGATGAGCTGAACGCCGTTCTCCACGCCTCAAGCTCGGAGCGAGCTAGAGGTCAAGTTAGGCATGAGAACACACGAGCTCCGAGAATGTGCTGTCCAAATATGGCGCCCAAATATGGCGCCCAAATATGGCACCCCCAAAAAACAGAACCTGTTCTGGCTTTTGTTTCTTGGCTTTTTTTCAAAACACCTAGAACATTGGCTTGCACAGCCTGGAGCAGAACGCTTCAAACTGCAGGCACTGGCAGAGACCCAAAGCTTGCAGGTGTTGGTAAAAAGACCTGCCCGTATATGAAGTTGGTGCGATGCTAACCTGCAAGTACGTTTAATGTTTTGGCCCCATTAGCCCATACTAAGTGAGTCCAGCATGTAAAGGGAAAAAAAAAAAAAAAAAAAAAAAAAAAAAAAAAAAAACGGCGTTTCAACCGAGAACTTCGCTGAATCCGAAACCGAAACCGCATGCGTCTCCAGAAACGACTGGGAAGCCACGCCCATCTTCTCCAGGGTCTCGGAGTCCGTCAGAAATTTCCCCTTCATGGCAAAGACCTCAAAAGCACATTGCGGCGTCCATTCAAGCAACAAATGGGGGGTGTCTCTTTTTGAGGGTACCCCTTTTGTGTGGCTTGAAAAGGCCAAAAAGGGAAGCCACCATTTTGGGGGGTCCCCTATAAGAAAAGACGCGCCCAGATGGGGATCCCACCCAAATTGGTTTGCGGAGACGGAACCAGCGAAAATGTTCAGGGAGTCTCAAGTATGCACAAGTTGGTTGAAAAACAGAAGATGTGAGCTAGTCCTTTTGCACTCAGACACCGTTACTCCTGCATTCAGTCCATCCCTGGCATCCATGGCATCCTTGGCAGTGGATTTGCCTCAGGTTGTCCTATCTTTGGGACAGAATCCCATCGTGTCAAAGTAAATGGTGAGAGCCCGGACCTCTGCTTGGAACCCTTGGAAGGGGCGACATCTGGCAGCCAGCCTCCTGGTCTGCTAAGGTTGCTTATACAATTTCCCTGGAACTGGCGGTCGGAATGCAGATATCGACACCTGCCTGCCCAAGAAAATGTTGCCCACTTCGTCCTTCAAGAGGTTGATGGTCTGATGGAACAACCAATGCAGGCGTCTTCGTAGTGTTGACCTGAGAACTAAGAAAACTAAAAGGTGTGAAGAAGAGAAAAATAATGAGCATGTCTACTACTGACAACGTTAAAGAAAAGCAAGTACTGAATCAGCATAATAGTACTGAAGGTCAGGAAAGTGCACGTCCCCTTCAAGCATCACCCACCAAACCCGAGGCCTTAGATATGCCTGGATTCTCGAGGCACAGGTGCCGCAAACGTGTGCTGCCCACCGAAGATCCGTGGGTAAACCGCCACTTTGCCCGGGGAAAAAAAAGCGCTTGGGGCTCCTCGACTGAGGCTCCGCACACATACGGAGCTGGCGTCCGCAAAGGTGGGCGCCTGCGCCAGAACCTCAGCTGGGGGGGACCTGAATTGGTGCAAAGGTCGCTGGGGTCTCTATCCGGAAAATTCCCGCCTTTGGCAGGTCGAAAATGGAACCAGCTGTTGAGACACAAAGGAAACCGCAAGTTGACGGCCACTAGTGGAATCTTCAATCTTCGGAACTGATTGTCACGGTGCCCCGTGGACCATTGAGGCGTGCTGACATCCAACCATCTGTGAGAGGGCCCGGGTACTCAGTTGGTGTTTTTGAGAAGCCATGCGTGCCATGGTCAATTCTTTGGGGTCCCAGAGATGGCCATCAATTGGTTAGGTTAGCAGGAGTTTTTGACAACAGCCACAAGATAACGCGTTTTGCAGTGCTACGTGCGAGCCCAGCTTTTGCACGCTGGGGGAATGGCCACCCTCGAATGGCCACCGTTTTTTCAACTCTCGGAACCTGGCCACAAATCCAACACACCGTCTGCGGCATAGAATCTGCCGATGGCCATTCCGACTTTTCAGGTGTCCTAGCTTCCCCCTTGACCAGACACATGGCGATCCTGAGCCTTCATGACGATCCCAGACGGTGCCCTCCCAGCTTTTTGCCTCGCAATCGTCTGGCTCCTAAGCTACAAGGCCCTGAGGAAGCTCAGGCGGGAAGGCTCCGTGTCCGCCTGCGCTGAGAATGGTGAGCTTTCTGCTTGCACTCGTCAACTGCGACAGGGGATGTCGATCCCAGGCAAAGATCCGCAACATCGCAAGAGTCAAAAAAATCGCACGGCTGACCTGTTGCCCAACTCAGGTTTGCTTCGCTAGCTACGCAAAAAAAGAGCCAAAAACTGACCCATTGGTGCCGCGCACAAATGATCCAAGTGACATAAATCGACAAAAATAAGAGTTTCGGAGTTGGGTTCAGCTCGAAGGATGCAAAGTGGGTGAAACATCAGGTATGAGCAAAGACGGGCATGTCCTCTCCTCCAGTGGGTCCCAGAAGAAACAAAGGAGACCACAATGGGAGCTGCAATTCTGTTCCCAAACGCTACTCACAGAAAGTGGCAAGTGGCCCCAAACCCAATTTTCCACCACCAGGATGACCACGCTGGTAACTCTTAACCTGACTCTCCATAGGGCGAAGTCCCCCCCTTCTTGCCACCCTGGCAGCCCAGGATTCGGAAACGGCCGAAACAATCGCGGGACCCTTTGGTGGACATCATTTGGGGAAACAAATGTCCCACTTTTGAGGGGTTCCCCAAACTTGCGGGTGCTCAGCAGGGAATGAGAAATGGAATGACCCCGAGACAAACCATCCCCTGTACACCTTCCTTTAAGAGAATCTTCAGGTTCATGAACCATGTCTCATTCCCTACTGTGGATGGACGAATTCCTGCACCACCTACGAAACCCTTGAATGATGATTCCCCAACGTAAATACCAACCAACGTTATGGCTTCACCGATAGTCTCATTTTGTGGTGCCAAAGAAATGGATTTCGCAACCAAGACATGGAATGAACCTAAAGATTCTCTTAAAGGAAGGTTTACAGGGGATGGTTCGTCTCGGGCTCATTCCATTTCTCATTCCCTACCCATCGCACCATACAACCTCAAAGTTGTGGTTTCCATGGTCTCAAAGTGGTGCGAAATGGATTTCGCAACCATCCACAGCACCCATCGCACCTACCTATCGCACCAGGTAAATCGGAACCGCTGTAGACCATTGTAGCGTCCAAGCGAATCCCCAGGTTCACTCCATGTCTCATTCCCTACCTACCCGGGACCTACCCGCACCAGGTACATTGGACACGTCTTCGCATCCCAGACGACAGCTCCAAACGAAAGCGCTCGCCTTGAGGGTCTCCTGCAGCTCCGACGCCTTCGCAGCAGTCAGCCCCCGCAGGGGGTCGGTCTTGACCTCAAATAAAACCGCCCACGTCTCAAATCTTCCGAGACCCAAACCAAGGGCAACTGGAAGCAAAGGCTTGGTGACCTGAAACAACAACAGACACAACACTAAAACAAAAGCTTGGTAAAACCAAGAAGGTGATGTTCCAACAAACCAAAGAAAAGATCTTTTTTGAGGACACTTTAGGAAAGGCTGGCATGAGATTCAAGTGGTTTGACAGCTTCGCAGACACCAGTTTAACCAGCTTGGTATTGCCAAATTCAAATCTCCACTGGGATGTACATTGGTTCAAACTGGTGATCATCAAAAGCGGAAATAGAGGGAGACCTGGCACAAGCCAAACCCAGCATTGAATAGAAACAAACTGAGAGATCAGTGCTGTGAGCGCTAAGTTTCGCGTAGAAGCGCCGCTTTTCATACGGTAGTTTAGCCACGCGTGTGGCAGTCTGTCATGTGCATAATCTGTGCAAATTATGGAATGTCAATCATAGCTTCTGACCCGTTGTGTCTCTGTGTGATACCCAAATGTCCATGAGAGCTGACGTATGACGAGTTGCAGGAGGTGATTGATGGGGTTTGTCATGCAGGATCCCACCAATCACTCTGCCAGTTCCATCAGTTCCATCAGTTCCATCAGGCCTCTTCAACCCTTCTCCGAAACCGGCAACGAGTCAAATGGCGTTCACGACTTTGCTTCGGTGTTGGGACACGCAAACTTGCCGCAATGCCTCCAGATTTTTGGAATTCCCCCCCAAAACCCCTCAATAATTGCATTCCAAAAAGCCTCGTGAATTCCAAAGAATCCCTAAATACCCAACATTGGCAACTATGTCTGGGATGGAAGTTCCCAAAAACCATCAGTAGATGCAACATTCCAAAAAAGCTCGAGACTTTTAGGAGTTCCCTAGCGATGGAAGTTCCAAAAAACTGTGTGATTGTTTGGGAACTCCCGCGCATATTGAGGTTGTTTGGCAATGTTGCATGTCCCAAAACAGAAATAGATGAAAATGTGATTCGGGCACGAGCCTGTGCCCAGGCAATGGGTAAGTTGGGGTAAACAAGCCACAAAAGAAAGGTTCCCCAAAAGCAAACCAATCCCTGGTCCCAAAGATCAGGGTTTCCCACACACCAGAGAACAACAACCAAAAGGAAACAAACCAAACAAGAAAAGGGTTAACCCGCAACCTTGGTCGACAACAGGCCGCACGACTGGTCCCTACCAACCTGGCGGCGGCCCGAGGTCTCTTTCTCCCCCGAGATGCCGTCGGTCGACGCAGGGGTTCGGCGACGCCCATTCGAGGCGCGACGGAACCCAAAACTTGAGCCAAAACACCACAGGTCGGTCACTAACGCGACGTCCCTGATGATGATATGAACCATGGCTAATCACACCCCCCTCACGAGGAGCCCGTCATATGACGGGTGGAGCGTGCCATTTACTGATAGGATTTAACTGCTCGCATGCATCCGCAAACAGCTGGACACTACCGCCGTCAGCGGTGGAGCAAACCCACAAAGGCAGTTGCGCGACATCCCGGGCATTAAATTCCCGCCACCACCCCGAATTAATCGGGGTAACGCTGTCCAACGAACCTTGTGGAAAAGTCCACATGACGACATTAGGTCACAACTGTTTGCATCAACAATGCAAGAAGTTTAATTCTTATCAGAAGCCATGAAATAAAAGATAACGTATGTCCATTAGTACCCTCGCCTAACGGCAAGAGGTACTCCTGACCATGCGTACCTGAATAAAAATGCTTGAATTCTGCAAACCCGGGAGTAACCCCCCATCAGTTTGCTTTCCCTCTCACTCACACTGCTCCCTGATGAACACGTCCAGCAGCCCAGCAGCGGTATGGGAGAGACATGACCTCCGCGCCTCAGCGGTCCGGGAGGAACATCACCACCTCCGCACCGCGCCGACCATTGGAGAATGGACGCAAGCCTATCGGCCGCAATCCTCGTGACTCAGCCTACCGGCTATCGTCACGTCTCCTCCGGTCACGTCCGCCCCGCGCACGGTCCCTATCACGATCCCTCTCGGATCTCCTGCGATCATCTCGCCTTCGATCTCGCTCCCGATCGAGTGATTCATCATCACGACGATCACGAGCATCGTCCCTCCTCCGGTCTCGATCATCCTCGCGCCGTGGACGGTATCTGCGCCTCCTTGACTCCCTGGAATCCCTGGTGTCCACGGTCCTAACGGACCTCCGAGAAGGAGTACGGGAGACATCCGATTCCCTACGCCTCCTTCCAGAGCGAGAGTTCGTCACGATCTGGTTGAGAGCCTCCAGTGCTGACGCGTCCTCACCATTTCTAATGAAATCCCTGACTTGCTTGTTCAGCACTCTGTTGGTGGAGACCGCCAAAAGAGCGTCCACCACCGAACTCCCAGGCAGCACCAGGAAGTGACCCTCCACCGGGCTCGCCGCAGTTCGCTCAGCCGACTGCAACCTGATCTCACCGCCTTCAGGCTTCTTTGCCATTGCCTTGGAGGCCGTCAAGGGCGCTACCGCGTCCTTCGCCGAAGATCTGCCAAGTGCGGAGTGAAGATCATCCCCACTAGCCTCTCTCGCTGCCGCACCTGGTCTGCTGTCGACGTCATCAGGCCTTGTTGATGCCTCCCGCTTCGTCGACTCCTTCACAGTCTCATCGGGACCCCAACGGGACTTCCTTTCTCTCTTCTGCCCTTCAGCCGACCCCCGGCTACCGCCAGGAGCGTCATCTCCGCCCGTCTTCTCCTTCTTGACCTCAACCTTCGGTTCGGCCTGCTTCGTCTCCTTAGCTTCAGCCTTCGGAGCCGGAGCATTCTTCGCCTCAGATGCTGAAGCGGCCTTCCCTTTTGGCTCGGCCTTTGGAACCGGGGTCATTTTAGCCTTCGCACTCGGCCGGGCTCCTTGAACCACCATCTCGACCCAAGTCTTCTTCGGTTGAGTCACAGTTGCATCAACCTCCATCGGAGCTGGTCCAGCATCATCCTTTGCTTTTGCCTTCGGGACAGATGGACTACCGCCCTTGCCGGATCCTTTATATACCTGGCACTTCACCTGACTTCGGTGGCGGGCCGGAAGGACTACCGCCCTTACCGCCCTTTTCCCCCTTCTTCCCTTTTCCTTTTCCGCCCTTGATGACCGGCTCCTGCTTGGGACCAGGACCTGGCGCAGCATGATGCACCGATTGAAGTCCCTCGATGTCCACGTTTAGTGGTTCGGGTTGACGACCATCAAGAACCGTCCTCACCCTCTCGTCGCTGACGTAGACGAACGGGTCACGAAAGGGTGCGGGAGGCTCCGGCTGTCCGGCACTGATCGCCTTCTGCACCTTGGCTATCGCCTCCTTCAACCTCTTCTTCTCATCGTACCCTGTCTCCGACACCATGTACTGCCTGAGCTGCGACATCAACGCATGACTTTCCAGGATGTCCACGTCCTTTCGATGGGTCGGATACAATGGGGTCAGATGACCAGCCGCGGAGCCAATCACGTATGCCATCGGGATGTAGAAGGACAAGTACGTGTCATGGCGAGCGAACTTCCTAACGGAAGTCGTCATACGCCTACCCCACTGGGCAGCATGCCTTGGGTTAGCCCGGAAGTACTCCGTAACCGACTCAAATCTATCGACTTGGTTGGTCAAAATCAGGTGCTTCGCCACCCACTTCTCCACGAACGCATCCGATGCCGAAATCCCCGACACATAGGAGAATTGGAAGAGCACCTTCGCCAGCTCATCCCACGCCGCATCGACTCCTCCCTTGTCCTCACCAAGATAAGGGGGCAGTCTGATGCCGCTCTGCACCGTCATCCTCAGATCAGACGCCATCGAATAGGAAATCAAGTTCCTCTTGATGACTCCGACCACTTCGGTGGGGATCCTCTTGGGCTTGAACTGCCCCATGGTCCTCACCCACTCCGGCACGATGTGGCAATTCTCGAAGTCTTTCTCCTCCGCATTGGGGATAAAGTTCGGGTAAAAGACCGGGAGCGCGCATCCAGGACACAAATGCATCCCATTTGGCGTCATCTCCGCGCACCTCAAACAGAACGTGGTAGTCACATTCAACCTGACCTCTTCCCGCGATCGCCTGTGCTCTCCCCTAACGGGGGTGAAGTCATCATAGTCCCATGCCCGATGGTACACTATCGTGTAATCATCGTACATGTAAGCCGCCTTCCATGCTCCCATGTGGATCTCGTTCCTAACGGCCAGAGTCTTCCTCCTTGTCAAAAACACGGGCCCAACCAAGGACCAATGTACCCGAAGGTCCACCATTACCACCACGTACCTACCGGAGTAGTTCCGCAGCCTGTCTCGGACATACCACGAAGGCGATACCTCGGCGTCCGGCGCCATGGCTCCCACAAGTGGAATCAGGCCCTCATCTTGCCTGCCATCCCCAATGGTCTCGTACACATCGGGCCTCGTGATCAATATCTCGATCATGGCCTTTCCGTTTCGCCTCACCCTTTGGAGCTGAACCGCCTTCCGAAAGTCCGAGAACTTCATGATGACGTACCCCACCATGGGGAGTTCATTCCAATGCATCTCGTACATCAGAGATCCGCCAGGTGCATCTTCTTGGGTGTACCTATGCCTAACGGCACTGTAACTCATGTCGCGTCCGATCCGCGTGTGCCTAACAGCCACCAACCTAGTGCTCTCCTTGAGGAGGACACCATTCCCGTCGTACATGACCATGAGCATCGCCTCAACTTGCCCTATCGGGAAAGCTTTGAGCGTCGGAATGAAGAACTTCCAAGACATCTCAGCGTTCTCCATGCCCGAGATCTCCTTCAGGAACCAGATGGCCTGGTCACTTTTCACCCAGTTTCCAGCCTCACGTCCAGTCTCCTTCAGCACGCGTTCCTCGAATAACTCCGAGACTCTCTTTGAATTGATGACCAGACCCTCGAAATCGCACGAGAGCAGTCTCATCAACTCCTTAGCCGCCTCCCGCCCTGCAACGGTGCCCACGGTCTCCTCATAGTTCGGGAAGTATTCGC